GGAGTAGTTCCAGCTCTTCCTCCTCGGATGACAGCGAAAACGAGAGCCCTGTGCCCGCTGAGCCGTTGTCACAGCCCGAGGAGTCTACTGCTCCTATAGCACCTGGCGCCGACCCCAATCGTGACTCGCCTCCTTGGGAACTACTGCCCACTGCATTTGCCTATCCGACAGACGGCGGTGTAACAGAATGGGCTGAAGGAGGAGGAACCTTTGCCGGCATGGCGCTCTTTGACACGACTTTGCCTGCTGAACATGGCTGGAACTCGGGAATGGCCCCGTCTTTGGCCCATTCCCCGGCGCCTACTCCGGACTTGCCGATGCCTGATGCAGCACTCCCCCAGCCCCCGCCAAATGCTGAGGCTGCAATGGACGTTGTCTCGCAAGACGAACCCGACAGTGGTGCGCCGTCCCACGAGCATCAGCCTATTACGGCGTTGGTGTATGCACCGAGCTTTATACCTGAAATGCACACTGTTGATGTGGCGTTCCCGTGTGGGGTCAACCGTTTGCTCGTGGCTGTCAACATTCTGCGTGATGCAGACCTCGCCAAACATTTTCCGGTCTTGTCACCAGTGACGCCTCAGTTGCATGCTCAACTCGCCACCTTTGTTGCCACGCCGCAATGGCTCACAGATAGGGTTGTCGTGATGATTGATACCAGCAAAGTCAACGGGTGCGTCTTTGCTGAAGCGCTGCCTCTCGTCATGAGTCGAGAAGCACTCCTGTCGGCCGCCTGTTTGCCAGAGGACGGCCTGTATGGGGTTTTTGTTCATGGCTTGTCGCATCCGCTTGCGCATACCCAGACTATTCGCCTTGTCACCGGTATGCTGCTTGCGTTCCTACCGGAGCATCTCGGCGCACCTGCGACACGGGACCTCTCACATATGCTCATCAGTGGCGACGGATGGGATGTCAACGCGGAGGTACCAGGCCCCTTTTTCGCCCCGGGTAGCCACTTCTACTTGCTGACTGATAATCTCCCGCAGGTCTTCGAGGTACAGGCAGGCAGACGACGGCACTTCAGAACCGATGTCGCTGATGCCGTCGACAGAGAGTTTGAACGACTCTCTCTTATTGCAGCCAAGCCACGAGTACTTGACCTCTTAGTTCAGGGGCATTTGATGTCCGGAGTGTTCGCTGTCACTGAGCACTTCCAGCCACCGCTCCAATCGCATCGTGGGTCGCGTGCTGACCAGGTTGCCGTCTTTGTCGATTGCAGGCGCATCCTGGCTGGCTTTCGTTGGGTTCTGCTACCAGCCGGGCCCTTGCCAGTGGCTACCCTTCTGCAGCGTTTTGAAGACCGGTGCCCGGCAGGCATGCAGGTGTCCTTATGGGGTCTACCTGTGCGAGTCACCCCAGCAGGTCCGGTTTTTGATTTAGTTACTTAGTTCATGGTCATACTCTCTTTGTGGCATTCGTGGCCAGCGACGCTTCTGGCTCTATGGCGCCACCAGATGACGGTCCGCCTGACGGGCTACGCCCCGGGGCGACGAGTCACCGCACTGCACCACCAGGCGACCGTACTGAGCCCGGCATTGGCCAGACTAACGCTAGTGCCGCTAGTGGCTCTGATCAGTGCACCAGGAGTCGATCCCCGAGACCAGTCACAGAGACTCCAGCTGCTGTAGCAAGGCAGGCCTCAGTGCTACAGCCGCTGCCGGAGGGCCGCCCGGACGCAGAACTTCCCCTGACCCGGGCTACGGGAAGTCCTCTTGCCCTGCCCTTTCCCTAAGTGGTCCTGTCAGTGGACATGAAGGTACTGCCGCCCGGCCATCAGTCTCCCTACGCATTATCTGCCCACGGACTGCCGCTTTTGTGCAAGCGTATGCCGACTCTTTGCAGCACCAACTTTCTGCGCCAGGGTCGTGCATGCCGGCAATCCAGTACCGACTCCTGAGTGAAGCTCCGTCACTCCCGGGTCCTGCTGCCACCGCCTATAATAATGCCAGGGCTATTACCCGCCGGCTGGGTTTTCCCTGGCCGCTTGCACCCAGGCTTCCAATATTACCTGCAGCACCCGATGATGACTTTGAGGAGCCTCTAGACGAGGACGTCGCCCATCTGGAGGCTGTCTCTTTTGTCCTCCTGGCGCCCGACTATCTACCTGAGATTGTCGACATGCAAATCCTGATACCACAGACTCTCGTCGAGGCTTTTGAGGTGCTGGATTCTTGTCGATGCCAGACCACCAGGGCCTTATTCCCGTTCCTCTGCCCCGTGTACCCCCAACCGGACCCGCGTTGGGGGCATGTTTTGCTGATCCCGGACTGGACAGGAGATTGGCCGGTTGTCTGCTTAGACCTTACTTTGTGGGACGGCAGAATCTTCGCGGCGACGGCCCCCCCGGAAGCAGATAAGCACACCCTCTTGAATCTGGCAGGACTGTCAGGCGCGGCAGCAGTCGACATTCACGCGCCTGGTCATGACGGCCCTCTGGATCATGGGGTTGAACTCCGCCTGTCTACAGGCATGTGCCTGACTTACACAATTGAAGGTACCCCTCCGGGTGCATCGTGTTCTCTAGCCGATATGCTGCGAACCTCTGCTGCTTGGGCGCCTACGCCCCCGTTGCAAGCCGCTCCTCAGGAGGACCGGTACTGCCTTGTTTCCGAAGGCTTTTACTGTGATTTTCTGCTCATGCCTGCCAGACTGCCCTTTTATAGGGCGGACATCGCTGCCCGTTGTGGTCTGCAGCCACACCTGTTGGCCGTGAGTCCGGCGAACCCACCCCCTGCTGACTGCTGCATCTACGGGAGACCATGCCGAACCGTCATTGCGGCAGGCTCCAGCCATGTCCGGGACGCTGATCGCCATGACGTTGTTGGTTTCCTTGACTGCAGACCCATCCTTGAAGGGTGGAGGCGACTCCCAACTGACCGGGGTTGGGTGGACCTGCAGGCAATACGGACAAACCTAAGCAGAAACGCGCCTGAGGGATATTGTGTCAGCTTTTCTGACTGTGGCCCGCACTGGACGTGGCTATGGATTAATGCCGGCCAAATCATTCAAGTCACGTTCAGTCCGATACGTGCGCAGGGGGAGGCCGCTGAATCAACCGATCGGCCTGCCCCTTGGCAGTCTCCTGCGCCCCCTGCCCCTCATGGTCCAGCTGCCGCGTCGCAGACACAGGGCCCCAGCTTGGGGGAACAATCCAACGGCAGTCCCTTACCACCATCAGGTACGCGCAGCCATACTGAAGCCCAGATGCGAGCCCTCGCCCTGCACATGCTGCAGGCGATTGACGGAGAGGTGTCCTTTGCAAAGATGCGACCAGCTTGGCCGTTTGCCCAGCTTGCCGCAGATCCTTTGATCTCAAGGATGTTCATGTGTTTGCCCGGTTTCTTTGTCGATGCCTCTTTGCTCAGGGGCAACCGGTACGACACCCCTGCGCATGCCTTGAGAGCTGGCACCTGGCGGGAATGCAAGCTCCTTCAGGAGCCAATTGGTTCAGCGCCGGGACTGAGAGGGCCGATTGCACGTGTCCGCGCTGTCGCGCATGCCATGGGCGATCCCTGGCCCTTCCTGCAGGCAGAGGACCAGGATCTCGAGATTGATACGGACCCAACTGTTGCGCAGGCAGCTCTGCCAGCTCTTGCTGACCTGGCCGTATGTGTCCTCACGCCAGGACATGGGAAAGAGCACTTAGTTGTTCGTCTCCCTACCCCTGCACATGTTGGCGATGTAATGGGCGCCGTCCGCGCTGCAAGAGAGGACTTCCGTGGAAGAGTTTTTCCATACCTGTTTTTCCCGCCCACGCAGCCGCGCCATGATGCCCTGCTTGCTGCCGCCTATCCCTCATGGGCCGTTGTCGACACCTTTGCGATCTTCAACCTCGTCCAATATGACCGGCGACTATTTGTCGAGGTCGTGCCTGCTGTCCTTACCAGACGTATTGTGCTTGATCTGGCGCGTCTCCCTGCAGGGGCTGAGGTGCAGGTCTACCTTGATGACTCTCCCGCGCCCATGCCAATCGACGAGGAAGTTCCGGTCCGCACCGGGGTGCTCATCTCCCTCTACCCTGAAGAGATGGGTCGCCCTCCCTTTTTCACCGTCGCACAAGTGCTGCAGCATGTTGGCTTGCACGCGGGGCAACCGGTGTTCGTACCAGCCCCGCCTGGCAGACACCTCTGTATTGTGACGGAGCAAGGGCATACCTTGCTGTCGTTCCCGGCTAGCGAACCCCTTCCCAGCCCGATGACCATACCTGCGCTCATGGGCTACCCGCTTGATGCGCGCATTTGTCCGTCACAGCACACCTCTGAGGACGTCGAGTTGTGGGGTTACCCGTGCAGTGCGGTTCTCGCCGTTGTCGAGACTGCCGCGAACCCAGCCGAACCATACGCTTGTATAGTTGACGCCAGGGGGCTGTTGCAGGGTTGGATGCTGTTCACTTTTGGCGACTCCGGCCTTGACACAAATGTGCTTCGAGACCTTCTAGAGACCTTTATGCCACCCCATTGGCAGCTCCATCTCGAAGGCGCTGACACTGAGTCGGGTGTCCTCTGTTGCCAAGATGGACATGTTGTCTACGCCTCCTTTGTACCGGAGACCCTTGCCGACCATCAGCCAGAGAATGATGCGGAGTGCACGGACAGTGAGGCACGTACCGAAGACCCCTCAGTTGAATGGGGGCTAGCGCCCGACTCAGCCGAGATGGACTCGAACAGCAGCTCTGGCACCAGTCGAAGCCGCACCCCAAGACGTGATACTACCGCCAATGTAGATGCTATGGGGTTGCGAGTTGGTACCAGCAGCCAGAAGCCCGCACGGTGCAGTGCCGTGTCGGCCGTCGCAAAAATGCCATCGCGTTGCATGCTTGCCTCCCTTCTAGCCGGCCGACTGCATCCCATCGCGGCTATGAATCGGGGCGAAGGGCCAATGTCCAAAGGGGGGGTGGATTTTTTGAGAGGGAGCTGCGACGACAAGAAACGGTCAGGCCCTCGCCCCCAGCATGGGCTCCACCCGCGACCACGGCCTGTGCCCACCCCATGCCGTTCAAGGCGCAACGATAGACCACAGTCTCCTGCACCCATGGGAGATAACACAGGCCTGGCACTCCGTAGCCTCGTCCAGGGTCTCGGGCCCGCTGTTGTTGGTGATCGGGGCGTAAGGCGGTCCGATAAAGCATCGGGATCTCCCCGTTTATTCGCAGCAAGTTCAGGCAGTGATCCACTGACACTTGCGGTACCGGCCACTCTACTCGAGCACAGTGTGGCTCGCTCGGACTCCCAGGCCTTCTTTTTAGCGGCTACTCTGTTGGAAACTGTCGAAGAGCATTTTCAGGAAGCGCCGCTCAAACTACAGCTCTGTTCTCTCTTGCCGCCGACGACAGCCGCGGATGCTATCCGGTCCCCTCTGGAGGGGCATACCTTCTGGTGTAACTTGAGTTGCACACCCTTCCCCACACCCTGGAGCCGGATGGACATACCAGAGCTTGCTGAGCTGCCGCCCAATGACAGTATGTGCCTTGGCTCGCTTCCCACAGGCATCTGCCCAGCACATGTCTTCGACCTTATGCAACCAGGGGTTGGCATTGTGTCCCTGGGGGAGACCCTGTGTAGCCTGTCGCAGGCTGATGTAGCCTTTCTCCGACAACTTCAGTTCGGTGATGCGGACTTTGTCGGGGACGCCCTGCATTGTTTTACTGATGGGTCATACTTCAGAGCCCTCGGTCCAAGTAAGGACGTCATGGCATGGGCTTGTCTTTTCGTTTGTCCGATCTCCGGTGCGGCTGGTGTTCTATCGGGTCCTGTTCCGTCTGAACTCGGCACCCACGGTGAGGTTGCGTCCGCCTTTATTGCGGAATGTTGCGCTCTCGCCGCGGCAACATGGACAGGAATCACTCTTTTCCACCACCGCCCCTTATGCGTGCGATCGGACTGTAAAGCAGCCATCGAAATTTTTCAGGGCACAGCAGCGTCTGCTCAGCATGGAGTACCTGCTTTCCTAAAAGGTCTCGGTAGCTTGTGCCGCGCCATCTCAAAACATCCGCCTCAACTTTCTTATGTACCTGGGCATTGTGGTTGTCTAGGTAACGAATTCGTTGATAAGGTTGCTAAGTCTGCAGCACATGGGAGGCCGCTGGGCCATGCACCATGGAGCACCGGCATAGCACCAACCTGGCTTGAAAACGATTGTGCCCTACTGGGTTGGTGCGGCGTGGTATTGCAAAGCTTGCGAGGCCGTGTTGACCTCCCGCCTGGCATCGGCGGCGGTGCACGGGTGTGCACCGATGATGGAGGGTTAAGTCATTACCAGCTCGTGGCACCCTTTCTCCCAGCGCCGCCACAGGATGCCAGCAGTAGCCCAGCGGATGTTTGGGGTCGCATGTCTGTGCGCATGTGCTCCTACAATGTTTTGTCGCTGAATAGTCTTGCGGTCGAGGGGCGTGCCTCTGATGGGCTTGCATTCCAGCCGGCGCGTCCCGCCCTGCTTGCAGATAGTCTGCGGCAGGCCGGAGTCCACGTAGCCTTTCTGCAGGAGGCCCGTACCGAAGTTGGTACCTTGACCTCAGGTGGGTACCTTCGATTTTCTTCCGGGGCGGAAGGCGGTACTCTAGGCACGGAAATCTGGGTCCGCGATGGCTTCCCTTGCCTCCAGCACCCTACCGACCCAGGGCAACATGTGCGCTTTCGCCGGGAAGCCTTCTGTGTCCTGCGCAAAGACCCGAGGCGACTTTTCCTGCTTTTCAGCAGTGCATCCGTCAGATTGCTGCTGATCTCTCTTCATGCGCCCCATCGAGCCATGGTGGACAGCGTAATTCGCGCGTGGTGGGTCGAGACACAACAGCTTGCGCTGCGCTTTGGCAAGGTCGCTGCAACCGTTGTTGGTGGCGACTGTAATGCTGCGGTGGGCTCCTTGCCATCCGGCGGCATCGGCTCCCACGATGCAGAGCGAACCGATGATGCGGGTACCTACCTAGGTAGCTTCCTTGAGGAAGCAGATTTGTGGCTCCCCTGCACGTTTGGGGAATGCCACCACGGCCCCTCAGGGACGTATGTGCAGAAACGCAATGGTTCGCTTACCCGCATCGATTACATTGCGTGCCCAGCCTCCTGGAAGGATGGTAGTGTGCGCACGTGGACTGACCCCTCTGTCCACGCGGGGCAGACCTATATCGATCACATCGCCACCCTTCTGCAAGCCGACCTGCACTTGAAAATGCAAGGCAGAAGTGTTGCTCAGGCCTCCCGTGGTTTTAACGCCAAGGCTATGTTGACGGATGAGGGTCGGAGTACTGTGCAAAGTATTCTGTCTAGCGCGCCACAGATTCCTTGGTCTGTGACCCCGCACGCTCACGCGGCTACGCTTGTCGGGTACTTGCAGACGGCCCTAGCCGATGCTTTTCCGAAGGAGAAGCGGCAGCGACACCGGCACTACTTGAGTGACGCCACCTGGGAACTGCACAGGGAAGTGAGTACCTTGAGGAGGTACTGTGCCCAGCTCAAGCGATCCATGCGCTTTCATTTTGCTGCCTCTGTCTTCCAGTCCTGGCGCCATGGGTGTGCCCAGCCCATGTGCGATATGCTCTCCTCTGCGTGGACCAAAGAAGCCCGTGTTGCCGAGGCAGTCCAAGGGCATAGGCTCGGCATTGCGGCAAGGAAGCTCCGATCGGCTTGCAAGCATGATCGTGCACAGCACCTAAGCCAGCTAGCGGACCGAGTCCAGAAAGATGATGCCGACGCCTCTGCTGCGGTCCACAGGCTCATGGGTCTTAAGCGCAAAAAGCCCTTTCAGCCTGACGTCCTACCCGAGCTGCAGAAGGCCGATGGCATCTACTGTGAATCGCCGCAAGCGATCCAGGACAGATGGAGAGAACACTTTATGGCCCAGGAGGACGGAATACCCGCCGCGCCTGAGGAGCTGGCGTCCTTCACTGCCGCCCAAGCCCTCGGGCCCAGTCCGGACTCGCTTGCTGACCTGCCATCGCCCGATGCTGTTCTTCAAGCGATCCTGGGCACACAGAAGGGCAAGGCGGTCGGCCCGGATGGGATCCCAGGGGAGCTGGGCCACGCGGCCCCGCTGCTTCTGCGAGATCTGCTGCTCCCACTTGTCTACAAGGTCGGTCTAACAGGTGTTGAACCAGTTGGGTTCAAGAGCGGCGTTCTCGCCAAGCTCTACAAGGGGAAGGGCCCTAAAGCGGTATGTGGTAGCTTTCGGGCGATCATGCTTCTGCCCACGTTGGCCAAGATTGTGCACAAAGCATTTCGACCCAGCTTGTACCACATATTTGAATCTAACGCCCTCCCCGCGCAACTGGGCGGGCGCAAACGCACATCAGTTGTCCTAGGATCCCATTATACGCGCGCCTTTGGTCGTTGGTGTCGGGACACGCACCAATCTGCAGTCACTTTGTTTGCGGACGTAGCCTCTGCTTACTACTGCGCCGTGCGTGAGCTGACAGCACGGAAGCACGCGGATTCCACTGTGTCGGAAGCGGCTCCCTGTCAAGGGGCCACGCCGCGCGAGGATGTCGCGGAACAACTAGACCAGCCTACAGCCCTTGCGCGTACCCAGGCGAGCCCCTGGCTGGAAACTCTGACGGCAGAGTTTAATGCGCACACGTGGATGTACCTGGCGGGGGACGCACGCCCTGTGGTGACCCGCCAGGGGTCGCGCCCCGGATCGAGTTGGGCCGACCTTTTCTACGGCGTGACGGTGCCTCGCATCATCTCGTGTCGCGACAGCCTCCGACCTCCCGGTGTGCAGACTCAAGCTGTGTGGGCTGTTAGTTGGGACGGCCTCTGCGATCTGTCGGAGCCTAGTACTGTGCCAGACGACTGGACCAGCACCACCTCGCTTGAGGACGTGATCTGGGCCGACGATTTGGCCAAATGTGTAGCAGTGCCGGACGTGGAAGTCGTGGGGCGTGTTGCCACACGCGAGGCTGGCTTATTGACCGAAGCCTTCGCTGCACATGGCTATAGCCTGAGCTTCGGGCCAGCTAAGACGGCTGCCATCATTGCCGCTCGTGGGCCAGGTTCAAGGAAAGTACGTAAAGCCCTGTTTGGTGGTGCCGCAGCTCTTTCTGTGCTGCGCGAAGACAGCAGTCCGGCTATGCTCCCTCTTGTGCCTACATACCGCCACCTAGGCGTTCAGGTCTCTGCGGATGGTGGTATCATGCCCGAAATTCGGCATCGGGTGGCACTTGCCTGGGCTGCCTTCCGGCAAGGCCGCACGCGTGTCTTCCGTAGCAAGAGGATTGCCTTAGTGAAACGAGGGGCGCTGCTCGCGTCGCATGTTCTCACAAAGCTTCTTTTTGCTACTGGTGCTTGGCCCGCTCTTGGAAAAGGCGAACAGGCGATGTTTTCACATGCCGTCCTTTCCCTTTACAGGCAGACACTCGTGATCGGGCCTGATGGGGACCAACACCTCACGCACGCTACGGTTTGTGCACTCCTCCAGCAGCCAGCCCCAGAGGTACGCCTACGGGTGGAACAGGCCCGGTATCTGCTGCAGCTGTTTAACGCAGCACCCATGCAATTGTGGGCGCTGGTGAGACGGGATCCTGCATATGTGCGGCACCTGCGTGCGACCATCGGCTGGCTGTACGGGTGGATCTGCAACACTGCTGAGCTGCCTGACCCACTAGTAGATTGGGAGCCTTGGCGGCTGCTTTTAGAGAGGCGCCCCGGCTTGTTTAAGGCGTACGTCAAGCGCGCCCGAGGGTTGGAGCTTGCCCGCATAACCGGCCTTGCGGCATTCCAGGCCCTACGCTGTGCACTCTCTGCCTTTGCAGCAGGCGTCACGCCAAGCCCGGAGCCCCCAGCAGTCCGCTATGAGGAGGGATGCTTGCAGTGTCGCATTGCGTTCCCGAGTAGGACGGCTTGGGCGTGTCATGCATCCAAGCTCCATGGATACCGAACCACCGCCACCCTACTGGCGTCTGAGGTGACCAAGCCTGCGTGTGCCGCGTGCGGCAAGGTTTTCGCTAATAAGGGACGCCTTCAGCGCCACCTGCTGAGTTCGGGCAAGTGTCGGATCACGTGGGGAGGCTTTGCCCAGGCGGCGGATGATGGCCTTGGCGAGGCGCCCCATAGCCAGGCCCCGCCCCTCCAGCTTGCTGGTCAGACGGATGGTAGGGCGTTCCCGTATGATCCCGCCGATGTGCATCTGGGTTTGCTTAGGGAGTTACAGGTAGCTGACTGCGATGCCCCTGACAGCCTTTGGGACACGGTGAGTGGATACATTGCACCGTTGGCTGTGCTTCGTCGCACGGTCGCTACTTGGGGGGCGCAGCCCGGCGCTGGGCAGCATGCCAACACGGTTACTGCCGCTTCGGAAGACTTGCAGCTGTTGCTTGACGTCGACCTTTGGTGTGAGGACTTTCGCGCTCCGAAGCAGCCCCGCACACCACTCGATTGCTGCCCGCCTCTGGCCGCCCTGGATGATCTGGGCTTCTGTTTTCATCCAGCAGGTGCGCTGCAGGTTTATACCGTGGATGCGCCTCCCTGTAGGGACTTCTGCTACCCATTCTGCAACAGCGTCCCTTTAGCCACTGCACGACGTGCAGTCGCATGGTTGGAAGCTGCCTGCGACACGGTTGGGCTCGCCGTGCAGGCCACCCAGTTTGCCCCAGTCCTCATCCGAGCCCCACCCTGCGCGCTTGCTATGCTGGAGCCCGCTACTAGCTGGTTACGTCAGGGGGGTTTTATTGTGGTGAGTGATGGCTTGAGAACTCCCTTCGGGTAGAGCTCGCCTCCTCACCGGCCTTTCCGTTTCACTCCGAATTTACTGCTTGAGGCGCGTCCGCCGGACACTAGCCTGTGGAGAAGAAGAAGCATTTCACCATGCCGGCATGAATGGATGGATGGATGGGGGTGCATGGATGTATGCACGGATGCATGGATAGATGGACGGATGGGTGGATGGACGGGTGGGTGGGTGCGTGAGTGGGTGGGTGGATGGATGAATGGAAGGATGGATGCATGGATGGATGGCCGTGGGTCTGTACGTGCATGTTGACGTGATCATGCTTCGCTTCTTACTGCACCCATTTGATGCGCTCTGCTCGCAGTGCCCTGGCGCAGCAGAGAACGTGCGCCTCAGCTCAGGAGCATATCGATGCAGACCGTGCCGGTCTCAAAGCGCTCCGTTACGGGATCTGCACTGTGGTCCGATTTGCGGGTGTAGCATTCTGCCGTGAGGCTCTTTGTGGGTTTCTTTGCGGAAGCACCGGGTGGCACTGCCCTGGCGCTGGGTTCTCCGCTGTCCCTGCCTTGTTTACTTGAGCACCCTCCTCGCCGTCTTTGCCCTGATCGGTATTGGCGTCGTGAGTGCTCCCATCAGTCTAAACACAAACTTCGTGCCTTGCTTGCATCCTGCAAGGGCGTTTGTACTGCAATGATGCCGACAAGTTACTGGACATTACTGTGCTACTTGATGTGAGGATTCTCTCATGGAGTCTGACAGCGCTGCATCGTTGAACTACGACGCAATTCTGCAGGCCAGCGGTTGCTTTTCGACCTGGTGGATTGCTACGACTCCGACTTCGCGCCGCACCTGCGCAGGCGATTCTTGATGCTCGCAGAGAGCGTCAGGGCCGGCGTCTTTCACCAGGTCCTCCGCTCGGAACTGCCGAAGGCAGTGAAGGGACAGGGACCGGAGCCTCCAGAAAGCAGGAGCCGCGCGGGGCCCGCGCCTCTGGAGCTCGGAGCGGAATGCCTCAGAGCTGGGGCTCACCGAGGAGGCCAATGCCCAGCACAGTGAAACCCACAGCGCGCGCTTTCATAGAGGGTTTCCGAATTTCCCATGTTCGCAGGACGGCGAACCCGTCCAACCTGGTCGAAGGTTGCAGTCGAGACTGAAACTGCCCCTTGCCTTTTGTAACGGAGGTCCCCTTTTGCTGCAGCGAGTTCACTCTTAGATGTGGGCGAAGGTACAAGCCATATCGCTTTGAGCTAACATATGTTCGGCGAGATGATGGCCTCCTGGCTGCCAAGTCTTATTGCCCATATAAGCATTAAAACCCTAAACCCCCAATCCTAAACCCATAGTAGTGTAGTACCGATGGGAATCGATTGTTTTTTTTTTCAGGCAACGTCTTGAGCGCCTCCACCCTCGACTACATGAGGAGCGCTTCTGCGGAGTCGGAGAGCATGGAGTGTGGAGAGTCTGGGGCGCCTGGGCCCAGGGTTTGGGTTTCAGAGGTACTCAGCCAGAATTCCTCTATCCGTCTCCGCCCCAAAAAGGAGCATCGAGAAGGAGGTGAGGTCCATGGAGCCCTTCCGGAAGCTCTGCGAAACCGCGGAGCCGCGGCTTGGACGAAGAGTCGCTGTCGCGATCAGTGTGCGTGGCGAGAAATCTCTCTTTTTGCTTCTGAATGCCTCTATAGAGCGAGGCGATTTAAGCACCACTGCGATCCCGGAATCTCCATGGTCAATGTGATGTACCCCTTCTCCGTGCCCGACGGAGTGGATGCTAGATTCTGGGATCGCATCAACTTAGGCCTGACTTGGGCCTTTCTTGCAATCGCAACCGGCTCATCGTGTGTGCTCCATACCAGGAATCTACTTCAACGGGACTGGCACGGCTTCGTTGCTGCCGGTGGCGGTGTCATTGGCTCAACAGGCACAAGAGACTCATAAGAGCCTCAAGGGAACAAGGATTCCTAAGATGCGACTCAAACCCCCTGAGGAGCGATTGACCGAAGCCGTCTGGCCTGAAGGTTTGGCGAACGACGAGGCACGGAGACGAAAGTGCGCGGAAGTTTGCGGATCCTGCAGGGACGAATCAGCCTTTGCAACTCTTTGTCGGCATTGTCTCCACTACGTGCAGTTGTCTGCTTTGGCTGTTGACTGCCGGTTTCGAAGAGTCAGAACCGGGCAGGTGAAGCTTGTTGGATCCAAGACTTGTGGCGACGGCGTTCCGGATTGCGCCAAATGGAAGGACGCAGGGCACTGCCTTCCAGGCACGAGCTTTCACAACTTTGAAGGGGAAGTCCCCGTGGTCTCTTCGTCGCAGGTGCTGCGCACGAGGTCTTCATGCAGGACATTGCGGGGATGTGGTCCATGCAGGGGCGAGCCGACACAGTGCCGGTGTTTCATTTTTGCACTCTTCTGTCTTATTCTCACTCCTGCCACGTGTAACGGTGTAGCGACTCGGCGCAGGATTTCTGCAAGGCGACCTGCGGAATCTGTGACGAGGTGCCTGAACAGGCAAGGTCTCAGTGGCTTTGCATTGCATGTTCACTTGTGCTGAGTCTAGTTTTGCATGAGACATCATATGAGACAGGAGTCTACTGCGGAGGTTGCGGAAGGCGCGTCTCATCACGTAAATCTCCGGATTTTGGCTTTCAAAGTGCGACCCTCCATGGCTTTCACCAGGTCCTACAGAAATCACCGCCCTCCGCTCCTACTTTGCTCTTCAAGCCTTCTGTTGCGAAGCAGGCGACTTTGGCCCGGATCTGTACCCGAATCCCCCGATCCCCGCCCCGTCAATTCTTGGCCCTGACCTGAAATCTTACAGTCACATAGTCGTCTTTTTTGGATTGACCTTCACCTTGCACATTGTCGCCTGTACTCGAGGAGAGCCTGGTCAGGGACAAATCGTCAGCGAGATGGATGCCGTCTGGAACACTTTTGCCTCTTGGATCCACAGAGCTTCCGAAGTCTGTGATTGCAGAACGGCTCAGAAGCAATGTCTTAGCCGCTTAGTTATGAGGTTGCAGAGCTGGTAGAGCTGCTGACGCAAAAGAACGCGAATGGCGGCGCCGTGCGAGTCTTCTTCTCGGGTGACGGCATCTCATCCTATGAGACTTTTGCTGCCGTGGGTGGCGATGCCATGTTCGACACTTGTCAGAGTAACAAAAAAAGCCGAGCTAAAAGGAGTCCCGAGCGCCAGTACCGCTGTAGTCGGAGCTGCCGGGAGGCCATCATGTCCTACTGCTTCGTTTTGGTTTATGCCACGCTCCACACACGGAGTCCCTTCTTGGCCCTGGTGGGACTCTCCTTGGTGATGCTCTCCATCCCAGCATCTTTTGCTGTGTTTATGTTGGCCAGTGGTAGTGGAGAGCTGAGCCTGATGATGTGCCTCTCCGTCTTCATCGTCATCGGGGTAGGCTCGGACATGCTCTTCGTCTACACGGACTTCTACAAACAATCCCTGCTCTTCACCCGCGACCCCGCCGAGCGCCTGAAGTTCACCTACCTCCAAGCGGCCTCCTCCACGGCCGCCACCACCTTCACCACGGCCATGCCAGGGCCCTGGAAGGGGGGGTTCAAAAGGGCTTTGCAGAACTTGTCCCTGGCTCTGTTCTCTTGTTTCGTATGGTCGCGGCTTGAGGTCCTTCTTTGCCAACTTGGCTTCTGTGCTCCGTCCCTTGAGGGAGTTCGGCTTCTTCATGGGCGTCTGTGCCGCTGGGCCAAGCAACTTTTAGACCTTCCTTGTCCATGTCTACACCTCCCCGATCCCTGCAAGTCTCCAGGTGACGCTGGCATGGCTCATGGTGCTGATGGCATACCCGGCGGTGCTCATCATGGGCGAGCGCTTGCAGAACTGCTGCAGGCCAGAAAGTCGCCGCAGCAGAGACCACACAAAGTCTGAATCACGATTTGCTCTCTCATCATGACCACGGCTGTTATGAAATCCTGTCCGGTCGACCTCCTAGTGCTTCAGCTCCGGTTCCGGGTTCCGAGGCGCTGCATCCTCCAACAGCCGCAGGATCAGGGCCACAGCAGGAAGTCCGTGGTGAATGCTGCGAAGAGGAAGAGTTCCTCGGAGCCTGGCACTCTCACTTTGGGGTCTGTCTCGACACCCACCCGAAACCTATCCCAGAGCCCTAGAGCTCTCCAGCCCTCCCCCTTCAAACTCTTCATCAAGAGGCTTGGTAATGCTGGCGGATGCCCTGGACCCGGAGAAGAAGGGCGTCGGTGCAGCTCACAGCTCCTGTTTGGGGGATTACCTGGCCGTCAGCCTTGGCAAGCTCCTTCCCTTGGCATCTAGAGGGGAAGCTAGGGGAACTCGAAGCTCATAGGGCTTGCAGGGCCTGTATAGGGTTTAGAGGCTCTCTGCGGGATTTATGGGGTTTATGTAGGGTTTGGGATCTAGGGTAGCAGGTTTAGCTTTCCTCCTTTGCGATTCTAGTTTGGAGCGCCGGAACTCGTAACTCTATGCAGCCAGGTTCAAGTACCCCGTGGTTCTTCTCTTCACTGGGCTTACGGCTCTGCAAGCCTACATGTCCTTGACGACTATGGAGCAAGCCACTGGCATCCCGCAAACCTTCCCGGACGATCACAACCAGGACTCTACCGCCTCAAAGTCGCCAGAGCTTTGCTCTACTGTAGGGTCTGAAGATGTTTTTTTGGCCCGTGCTTCCAGCAGGCTTCTGTGAGTACGGGGCTGTAAAGTCGATGTGGGCATAGCTATGAACATGAAGTTTCAGCCCCAAATCATTGGTCTTGGCAAGCTGACGCAGATCTGTAGCTCCCGTTTTCAGATCACGGCTGTTGTGGATGCATAGAACAATGCTGACGTACACAGGCAACAATGCCGGAGTGATTTCTAGTTCTGGATTTGTTGGCCGGTAGTGTTGCAGGAAGCACAGCAGAAGTACAACGGACTCTTCGCCACTTACGTGCCCTGGACCGCAGTTGTCTCCCGCCTCCCCGGGTCCCCAGCCGCGCTTTGCTTCCACTCGGTCTCTCTCCCTGCAGTTTCCCCATGGTTTCTGGCTGCAGTAGCCCGGCAGACTCAGGACTTCACAGCCTTCCCTTCTGGTGCCTATGCCGCGTTCACCTTGAAGTGTTCGAGTCTGGGCATGACTGGATGGATGGACAGATACATCTGTGCATGTATGTACGTAACTGTATGCAATTGTATGCATTTCAGGAAGGCCGAGAGACTCAGAGTGAGAGAGAGCGAGAGAGGGAGTGACTGCATCTGGGAGCAAAGCAAGAGAGAGAGAGAGAGAGAGAGAGAGAGTGGGACCTGAGTGACGCTGTAGTTGCCTTCCTTCTGCAGTACAACTCCCTTTAACTAATTCGTGACTTCAGGAGGGCACACTCCGATTTCCTTACCAACAGAGTGGCGCACCTGCAGACCATAAGAATTGCGGGGCCGATACTTATCTCCTGCCTAAACACAACCTGTTACAACGGCTATAAATGCCTTGGGACATACACCAGTGCTAGCAAGCAGACTCCCCAAACGAAGGAACACATTTTCGGGGCACCTGAGTGTATACCGCCGAGCCCATCCTCTGAGAATCGGGCATGGGGTTGCTCTGCTGAGCGGGCCACAGGGACTGCCTGTGGCTCATACCCCGGAGCAAAGCAAAGCAAAGAGAGAGTATTTCCAGCCCCTCTCCGAGCACCTGGAAGAGAGAGAGCGAGAGCCCCGGCCCTGAGCTTTCCCGATCGATGGGACCGTGCAGCTGAACAACACAAGCAGCCGAACCGAGTAGCAGAGTCCGATAATCCCAAGGCGGTCTTAGCTCCCTTACCTTGAAGCTTCGTCGGCCCGGTCCGTTGTTGGAGTGGTCGGTAGCCGCGGTCTTGCCAGTTTTGCCGTTGGGGACTCGAAGGCCTCACAACACAGAGTGGGGTTCGACAGAACTGAGCAGCGCGAGGGGCGGGCCTGCTTTCGAGCTGGGTATTGTCGCTAATAATGCCACATCGGGTGCACAACCTGGGGCTGCGCGCACGAACCCCACACCTACAGCCTCACCACGGAAATCAGACTGGACGCGGCGTGCGCGCGCTGGCGCTGGAGGGGGGAGGGTTGGCGAGAGTCAGATTCATGTTTTGGGGGTAGAATGAGGAAGAAGAAACTAGGCAGGGCGGGGGGCCGGCGCGCACACCTATCTTTGAAGGGCAGGCCGTGCCACTTTGCATGCTAAAGCCAGAACGGCAATAAGGTTCGGTAACGGTGACACACCAAGGAGCCTGTTCCGCTTCTGCAGTCTGCACCATTGTGAGACCCACGGCCGCCATCTGGGGAGCCTTCAAAGCTGTGCCAAGACTCAGCAGTTCGCACAGAGAAGGCCTTCAGGTATGGACTCGTTTTTGCCTTCCGGTTGTAGATGCCAAGACACCACGGAGCTGTAAAAGGGCTTTAATAGTGGTTCTTGGTTCCCTCATCGTCGTTCCGTTCAGTGCTTGGCTGGTGAAAGCCTCATGTCGGCTTGTGTGCGACCTGCAAACGGTCTCGGGGCCAACAGCTAAACGGTTCGCAACTGAGGCTTGCTTGGTATGTTTTCTGGAGCCATGGGTTAAGTCTATGTTGTTCCACATAGATATAGGTATATGTGGCCTGCAGCAAGATGATATTGGTTTGTGGCGGTGCGACCCGCATTGAACAGTGCCAGTCACTAAACCGCAACGGCCTCTAATACCATTGAATTTCAAGATCAGGTGACTGTGTGACGCACCAAAGTGCTGCACCATCGGCCACGGACGGTTGTGGCAGATACCAGGCGGGAGCACTGCCTTCCGTCCCGATCGTGCTGCCCACCATGCCGTCCTTTGTTTCTTTCTTGAACTGTGTAGCTAGGGCAGTAGTTGTAGGTTAGATGGATAGCACGGGAGGCAAGTTGAATCAGAGCGCTTCTTTGCCCGGAGGTGCAAACCCGCGTGGTGGGCCGAAGCGGACTGGAACCAGAACATCTCCAGCCTTCTGACTTGGAGCCACGCTGGGTCTGAAACGACGAGGGCCGAGGGTCTTTCCGTCACATTTGTTCTCCGCGCCAGGAGCAGATGATGTACGATCTCATTCCAAATGCGAGCTCTGTCACAGTCGCGGGAGCAGGCGAATGCCGTTGTTGACTGCCGGAACTTGCTGTTGCTGCCGATAGCTGGTCCTCGCGGTGTGCGTGACCAGGCACGACGTCGTCGTTGCTAGAGACGCTGCACTGGGACAGCGGCGATGTCGACCTACGAGTCATGCTTCAGGCCGGAGCCAGCCACAAGGCATGCTCTTGCACTGAAGATTTGCTCAGGTTCCGACCGCGACAGTGGAGAAAGGCAGCGGACGAAGCTGCTCCACCAATCTGTTCCTCGGAAGACTTGAGTCGAGACTGTGCGAGCTGTGCTCGTTGAGATTCAACTTGAGGCTGTGCTACTGCGGCGTGCAGCCCTGCGATGGCCCGCCCTCAGGAGACTCCGAGACGGCCTGCGGTGCTTCACAGAACCGCCTGCGGCCTTCCCTTCACGTCTGAGTCATGTCTCTTGTGGTTTCACCATGGGCCATGGAGGGTGCCCTGCTTGCTCGCTCCGTCTGAAGTCCTTAAGAATCGCCGCAGGATCGCCGGACTCCGCTGCGACCCTGCACCTGGACCGCGTCGCCCAGGCCGCTGTCAGAATCCGGTCTCAGGCCTTCACATTAGACCTTATATGCCTTATATCGTAAATCCTGTAATATTCTAGTATATTGCATATTATAATATTCTATATTAGCGTCTTTAGCTCTCTGCAGGCCCTGGCCTCGCGCCGATTGGCCACTTCCACCACAGCACCCGAGCCGCTGGTCCCCGTGGAGCTGCAGACGGTGCCTCGGATCAAAGATCGGTCTTTCCTGGCTCTTTGCTTGTCCCATCATGTCTTCCATCTACCCTCTGTTATAGACCCTAAATATCCTAAATTTGGGACCCTATACCCCTCTTTAAGGGTCCTTGGAGGGTCCTGGCCATCCTGTCCTCCCCTTGCTCTCCGTTTCGAGCTGGAGGACGTACTGGTGGTTTTCGGCCTCAAGGTCACGGGCACGAATCCGCTGCTGGGAGTCTCGAAGGAGGGGGGGCAGCCTCTGTAGAAATGAGGAGGGGGGCGGCTTTTTGAAGATCGCCCTTCGGGACCCAAGACCTAGGGAGGCCCTTCCTCCCCGATATTTCCGCCCCCCCGTCCCCCCTCTTCCTCCTGGCAGGAAGAGCCGTATGGCTTCTCTGAAGAGTTCAAGCTGGAGGATCCCTGGGCACAGCGACGGAGCCTGGCCCTCTGCGAGAACTTCCCAGAGGCAGGGGCCAGAAGGAAGGAAGGGGGGGGGTTTAGGGTAGTGTGTGTGTGTGTGTGTTTTTTTTCGGGAGGGGTGGGGGGGTTGGGTTTTTAGGTTTTTTTTTTTTTGGGGGGGGG